TTCAAATTCAAGGCCAGCCTGGGCTACTTAGTGCATTCAAGACCAGTTTGAACCCTGTCTCAAAAAGACAAAAAGACAGACAGAAAGAAAGAAAGAAAGAAAGAAAGAAAGAAAGAAAGAAAGAAAGAAGAAAGAAAGAAAAAACAGATCTTTCTTTTTTGTGATTGCTTGCTGAGATCCTGTCTTCTAGGTCTGCTATTCTGTCTTCACTTTTGTTTATGTGATTTTGCAAACTTTCAATGGAATTTTTAATTTCCTGGATATCTGTTTTAATCCATTTTATGGATTCCATTTCTTTCTTATATTGGGCATTCATCATTTTCCTGTGATCCTCTGGGTTTTTTTGTTTGTTTTTTAGTTTTTGATTTTTAAAATTCTATTTTTATACTACATTTGCTGCACAAGTCCTCTATTATAGTTTTTTTTCTCTCTCTCTTCTCTAACCTGGGAGATTATAGTAGATAGTATTATTACTAGTACAGAGTCTTTCCTAGGAAATGTCACATGAACAGTAACATACAACATGTGACTTTTTTTATTCTCCTTTCTATAACAACACTGATTGTCTGGGGTCATAACCATCATATTAGTTCAGTACCACAGGACTGGGTGGTGAGCCAAATAGATAACAACATGTGACATATTCATAACGAACACATTCACAGACACATAATGCAAATTGGTGGTTGCCATAGTTAAGGGTAGAGAGGTAGGAGGGGGATATGGGGATCACCTACTTAATGAATATGCAGTTTCTTTTGGGGATGATAAAATGTTTGGAATCTAGAGAGAGGTGGTGAATGTACTAAATGCAATGAATTATTCACCTTAAAATGGTTAATTTTATGTTATCGTGAAATTCACCTCAATTTCAAAAATTGTACCATTGTCCACAAAAAGAGTCAGGAAAAGTGCTAAAAAGCAATAAAGAGCAGTTGGGACAACTGGAAAACAAATAGCAAGGTGATAGATTTAAACCCAGGCATATTGATAATGATGTCATGTATGATGCCACAGGGCAGGGTGCAGGACATGTCCCTGCATCCTAGGCGGGTTGTGAGAACCTCTGTGTTCGAGGACTTCAAAGGTGAAATCTGTCTGATCTCTGAATGGGAGCTGTGAAGAGAAGAGGATGGTGGTTCTGGGTTCCCGAGGGGTTTCTGACCTACTCAGAGAGAGTGGCAATCAAGAGACATGACCACCCCACCTGCACCAGCATCCGCACACTGAGAACAGACTTGAAAGTTCTCTCTGCTTCTGTTCAACTCCTTCTCTTCTGGAGCTACTTGACCTATCATATGCTCCAAAGACCCCAAGAACCCTGGTCCCAGCAGGGGAGAGTGCTCTGGCTATAGGTGTTAGGAGGCTGAGCATCTGTACCCTGGAGATGTGGGACACTTGGGTCCTGCTCTGAGTGTTCCTGAGACCTAAAGGTAAAGTGGGGATTTCAAGCACATGCCATAGGGCCAGGGCCAACCTTTAATCCCTTCCCAACAATGTGAGCAAATACATTGTAAAAATACTGAAATAACTTCCTTTTGCTCAGCAGATACTCCTACTCAGAGCTCTCAGCTGCCCAGTCATCCCAGGCCTTTCCCTGATCATTCTGACCTCCTGATTTAACATCTAAAACATTAAGACTTTCGGGGGCTCTCACCTCACCCTGACCTAGAGGAATGTGGTTCCAGGTAGGACAGGAATCAAGTCCACACTGTCTAGGGTGGAAGAGGTCTGGGCCTCGGTATTGTTTGCCATCAGAGACAGAGCTGGAGATTACTGGCTTTTCTCTTGGGGGAAGCTGCCCAAGAAACTTTAAGCTATGCAAATTAGAAGCAAATTGCTTCTGGGTAGAACCCCGCAGTTTTAAAGTAATCTGCCAGCAGATGTTTTCGTGTTTTTTTTTTTTTTTTAATATAGTAAAATCCAACAAAACAAAACAGGACAAGGCCAATCAAAACAAAGCAGCAAAATTGGTACAGAACTTCAAAGCAGGATATTAGGAAAACCAAATAGCTACCATAGTATATCTTGCAGATGTTTTCGAAAGAGAAGTTATGTTGTAAATTCTTCATGTAAATTATTTTGGCAGAAATGTGTGCTTCCTTACATAGTTTTATCTTTACCTGTTTGCTTCCTGCAGATATTAGCCTTCCTAGGCTGGGACCAACCCTGCTTCGCCCTGGCATGGAGTTCTTAGACTACCTTTAATGCCAGCACCAAATCAAGGCAAAGCTTTCCAGGCATTTCTGATATTCTCTCTAGGTATCTTTTTTTTACTTCCCATCCAAATGAATTCCTCCCCCTCCCCCTTTTTTTCCAGCTTGTTCCCCAGAGGGCAGGATGCTTAGTTTCTGCTTACCTCATGCTCACCTGGAGCCTACCAGTTCTGCCTTGCAAGCAACACACCTGTGGTCATCAACCTTAACGGCCCTGTGCCAAAGCTCTTTCTTCCATTCCCAAACCCACATCTCTTGTCCCAGGCTCCATCCCTGCAATCTCCATCTGGTTTATAGTTGGCTTCTCTTGCCTCTACCACTGCCAGGCATGAACCAGGGTTTCATCAAATTACAGCCCTGCTCAAAAGCGAGGCTTTTCAGCTGTTCCTCAGACAAAGGATTACTATCAAGAACATACAAAGAATTCAAGAAAGTCAGTCCTCCCTGATTTAAAGACCCAGTCCAAAAATGGGCATCTGAGCTGAACATACACTTCTCAGATGAAGAAATACAAACAGCAAATAAATACATGAATAATGTTCAACATCACTGGTCACTTGAAAGATGTAAATTAAAACAACACTGAGATGCCACTTCACCCTGGAAAGAATGGATATTATCAAGAAATCAACCAATAACAAATGCTGGCAGGTCTGTGAGGAAAAAAGAAACCCTTCTCCACTGTTGGTGGGAGTGCAGACTGGTGCAACCACTGTGGAAATCAGTGTGGAGATTCCTCAAAAAACTAGGACTAAAAGTCTCATTCAATCCAGCTATTCCTCTTCTTAGTATCTTTCCAGAAGAATTAAAAACATTATATCACAGCAATATGTACCCATATTTATAGCAGCACAATTTATAATAGCTAGATCTTGGAGACAACCTAAATGCCCATTGACTGAGGAATGGATAAAAAAGATGGGGTATTTTTATACAATGGAATACTGTGCAACTATAAAGAAGGATAAACTTGGGGCTTTTATAGGTAAATGAATGCAACTTGAGACCATACTCATACGTGAAATCAGACACATACTGTAAACATCATATTGTCTCACTAGTGTGAGAAGCTGAAACACTGTATGTATATGCATAGACATATATAATATGTATATATAGTTACCCCATAATTATTGTTTTGAAATTTTATTTTTTTCTCTTTAAAATAAAATAGATTTGAAAAAAACAATTGAAAACAGAAGGGAAAAAAGTGTAGCTTTTTGCCTAGTGCCCCAACTGTCAGTTAAACACTGCCAAATGTCCCCAGTCAAACCAAACCCCGCTAAACCCAGTGGCCCCCTCCACCAGCCTACCACTGTGACTTTGCCCACAGCAGTCTCTTCATCTACTTGGCCTCTCTCTCTCTCTCTCTGCTTATGAAAATGTCCATCTGCAAAGCGAGTCTTTATTCCTCCCTCCCTGATGGACTCCTCACGCACAGGAGCCCACTTTCCAGCTGAAGGCTGCTTCACCTCTGTCCTGTCTCACATGCCCTCAGCCCATACCACTGTGAGAGCAGCGGGTACATTTCCATCTGTCTAACTCAGTACTCTCTCTCTCCAGAAATCCCAGGCATTGCAACTCAGTAAAGACTCGAGTTATTCTTTCCTTTTTGAGTAAACTCTTCTTAATGAAAACCACCAGTGCTCTGCCTTTCCCAGGTGACTCTCCTGCAAATTAAAATTGGTGCAAATTAAAATTTGGGCAGATACTTTGTATCTGCCCAAAACCTTGTTTCCTTGTCTGAATTCTCCTACATTGCCGAGTACCCTTTCCTTCACTTTACCCCTAGTCCCTCACTGGTATTTGACTGTTATCAGTGGGACACCTCAGACCACCCACCCAAAGATTTAATTGTTGGTGGAGTAATATTTGATAAACAAGACATGATGAGCTTGGGTTGGGAGGGCTGGGGTTGGATCCTGTGATTCCTAGGCTTGTATCTGCCTTGTTCTCTACTGCTTGTCTCTCTTGCCTGTCCAGTACTTCCCATACTGTCCAACAAATATGTGTTGAAAGACAAAAAGGGGGATGCACCTTTCCACTTACTTAATACTGTGCCTGAAATCCCCAAAAGGATTTCCTAGATTTCTTCATCCAGGAAGTGATGCCTTGTGCTCCAGGCTCTGGAGTGCCCCATGCCTTCCTGGTGCCCCAGTCCTGAAACGTCTAGAGGCCCCAGTCTGGGGCCACTTCCCTTTTGGGCCCGCGTGGGGCGCCTACATCCTACAGGGCTGACCTCAGAGTCTTAAAACCCCGCTGGCGTGAAGCACAGTTGCTTTGCTCCAGGGTCTGAGTAGAGATCCTGGCTGGGCCAGCAAAGTCACTTTGCCCACCAAGCACTCCTGCCTCCTCCTGCCTCTTCCTCCCACCCATGGTGTGCGGATTCCATACTTTCCCCGAATGCTTACAGCTTCACATGGGCTGGGGCCTAAAGAAAAACTGCACTTCCTCTAGGGACCCTCCTGCACCCACAAATACAAAATCATCAGATTTGAAACATCTCTGACAAGGTCACAGGGAGGGGGAGGGGCATGGAGCTGTTGGCAATATTACTGCTCTTGACCTGGGTAGTGGTTAGAAGATATTTTTGCCTCGTAATAATTCTTTAAACCGCACATTTACATCCTGTGCACTTGTCTGAATGTGCATTAATTTTCACTATAAAAGAGCTAAAAACACAAAAAGGAGAAAGTTCTCTTACCACTCCTAAATGCTTAATCCAATGTGTCCAGTAACTATTTGCTCTAACCCTCGCTGAAGAGGCTCGTTCTTGCTCTCCAGGCATTTCAGAGGAAGAAAACGTGATTGGAGCAACAGTCTACCTCTGAATCTAGTCTGGAAAACAGGCCGTCCTGTCATCATCTCCACTGGGAATCCAGAGGCTCAGGATGTGGTGGGGTTTGAGCGGGCCTGAAAAGAAGGGTGGGATTTAGCAGCGGAGGGGAGCAGAGCAGGCCCTTTCAGCTGAGAGAACAGTGTGTGCAGAAGCTGGTAAGTGGATCTGGGTTGATGTGCTTGGGAGACGGTGAAATGCGTCTGGTGCTGGACAGATGGTGGGAGGTGAGTCCGACTCCCTGGAATGCTACCTGCCCTCCCCAGTCCCACACACAGCAGGGGATGGGTGCCACTTTCATGCAAGCCTGCCTTGGCTGAGCAGAGGGGTCTGAGCTCTCATGCAAGAGCAGACATGTGTTTCTTGGTTTGTTTTGTTGTTTTGCTCAAGCGACAGGCCCATGTGGACTTGTAATCCCCATCCCAGACAGCCTGGAAGTTCCATCTGCCAGATGCATTACGCGCAGCACACGCATTCCTGCGAAGATATTTGCTGTAGCCCTGACTTTGAACCCTGCCCCACCCTGCAGCTGCCTTGGAGTCCAGCACTAAGAGATTGTTAAGAAGAAGGGGTGAGGAACGGGCATGAGGATCCAGGTCTGCAGAAGCTGGCATGGGGTATGAAGTTACTCCACTCCACTCCCAGTCAGTGGTCCTGGGGTTTAGGAATTTCACCCAGCATCTCCAAAGCGTATGGCTAGTGTCTGAGACTGTGGGCAAAGATGCCATGATGCGTGGGGGTTAGGGTATCTCTGAGTTCCAGGGAGGACTGCTGAATTTCAAAGGCAAGACTAGAGTAACTTAGGTAGTCAGTGCACACGAAGAGAGTCTGTGATGAGAAATAAATGAGACCCAAAACAGAGAAGAGTTAGTAACAATAACAGCAGTCATAATGCAGATGACAGCTACCAAGCATGAAGGCTAGCTCTGTTCCTAGGTCAACAGTCACTTCTTCCACTTAACCCTCACGATAATCCCTTGATGTAGATGCTATTATTATTTCCATTCTGCAGATGAGGAAACTGAGTCTTTGAGGGCCGGTCTGCCCTGGTCAGTGCAGAACGAGGTATCCCAGCAGGCTGACTCTGGAGCCCACAGTGGGAGCTGGTGGTGCCCACTCACACCCTGCCTGGGCACAGAGAGGTGCTGTCTCTCTCAGACTGGAGCGTGACAGCCCCTGTGTCAGGCATGACCCCCCCTAAAGACCATCTGCTGACTTTTACTTGTGCTAATTTCTCATTAAACCACCTCCAGATTTGGCTTCCCGGGCCACTCATATTCAGGGAAAGGAGGCCATGAACTGCCAGCATGACAGCTGTAGTTTTCATTAGTAAATTAATAAACTGCCTGCTGGGGTCCACACATGTCTTTTTAAATGAGCCCACCCTGGAGTGGAGCCCACTGTGAGCCAACTTAATTGAGATTCTCAGTGTGCAGGCAAGTGGCTGGCCTTGGCCCAGGTGCCAGCGAAATCTCTCTTGTCCTTCTCTTGGCAGACGTGGCCAGCTGTCCCCAGGGACAGCCTGACTTTATGGATTCAGGCTGCCTGGTCAGACGGCGAGGGTCGTCTGTACAAGAAGGGAGCGACAGTGCCAGGTTCCGGGGTGTGTTCCAAATTCCACATTCTGTGTGCAGACTCCCGGCGCCACAGCGAAGGCGGGCCTTGGCAGGACACTGGTGAGTTCAGCTAGAGTATTTTTTCCTTCATGCACTTAACCTGTGGCTTCCTGCATCTTGTGCTTTGTCTGCGTTCAGTCCACGGTGGCCCCCCAAAGCTAGTGATCAGAGGGTGACTCAGGCAGCTATTTATTTTTTTGAAAACCACTTAATTGAGCTGTTGTTTAGAAAGAGAATGTTTTGCTCTTTTTACAAAAATATAGGTTTTTTTTAAGTGCAAAGTAAAACAATGGGAATAAATGGGTGAGCGTTTTGTGTTGTGTAGTGTTGTGTTTGTCCCACTGTGGTGTGTAAGGCTGAACTGCAGGACTTGCTCTTTGTCATGAGCTCTGGATTGTTTTCTATGACGCTCAGTGAGTGGGACCTCTTCGTGGACAGAATTCGTGTGTGTTAAAGACACACCATCAAATCGGTCTTCTTCATAAGTGTTCAGATGTACAGTCCAGAATGTGCATGGTGTTGTGCGGGGCAGCTCTGGAACGTTTTCATCTTGCATGGCGGAGACTCCACACACCCAAAACAGAGCAGTTACCCTGGTCCCCCGTCCCCGCACCCTTGACGACCATCTTTCCGTTTTCTGCTTCTATGACTGTGATTACTTCAAATCCTCCAAAAAGGGGAATATGCAGTGTTTGTCCTTTCATAACTGTCTTATTTCTCTTAGCACAGTAGCCTCAAGATTCACCCATGTTGTAACATGTGGTAAAATTTCCTGTCTTTATGAGGCTGAGCACTATATACATATGATATTTTCTTACCCAGTTATCCTTCAATGAACATTTAGGTTGTTTCCAACTCTTGTCTGTTGTGAAAGCAATAAATATGGGTATGCAAATCTCTCTTAGAGATCCTGTTTTCAATTCTTTTGGTAAATAGGCAGAAGTGGTAATTCTATCTTTAATTTTTGGAGGAACTTCCATACTGTTTTCCATAGTGGCTATACCATTTTATCTTCCCACTAACAATGTACAGGGGATCCAGTTTCTAGAAATCCTCACCAATACTTGTAATTTCTTTCTTTCTTTCTTTCTTTTTTTGGTCTTTTTGAGACAGGGTCTCACTATGCACTTCAGGCTTGCCTTGAGCTCACTTGGTAGCCCAGGCTGGTCTCCAACTTGCAACAATCTTCCTGACTCAGCCTCCTGAGTACTGGGATTTCAGGAGTGCACCACCACAACCGACATAATTTTTTTCTTTTATAATGGCCATCCTAACAGATATGGGATAATATCTCATTGTAATTTGGATTTACATTTCCCTAATAATTAGTCATATTGAAGATTTTTCCATATATCTGTTGGTCACTTGTAATATTCTTTGGAAGATATGTCCACTCAGGCCCTTTGCCCATATGTAGTTTGCATTTTTTTCCCACTCCAAAATTTGCTTTTTCTCTCTGATAATGGTACCTTTGAAACATAGAGAACTTTAATTTGATATAATACTATTTGTCTCTATTTACTTTTTCTCTTGGAGTCATATCCAAGGAATCATTGGTCTTAGCTATGTGTATTAGGATTGAACTCAAGGTCCTCAGACTGAGCCCTTTTTTATTATTTTTTATTTTGTGGTAATGTCTTGTTAAATCGTTAAGTTGCCTGAGCTTGGTGCAAATTTGTGATTCTCCTGCCTCAGCCTCCCCAAACCCTGAGATTACAGGCGTCTGACATCATCCCTGTTATTTCCCCTCCCTCCTTCCTCCTCTCCCTTCCCTTGCCTTTCCCAGCCTGTCCTCCAGCTCCTGTGCTCAAGCAACCCTTAGCCCTCCTGAGTAGCTGGGACTACAGGCCCGCTTTCATTTTCAAAGGACAGTTTTGCTGGATATAATATTCTTTGTTCGAAGTTGCTCCCCTGCCGCCTCCTCTTCTCCTGGTCATTGTTCTGTACTTTGAATATGTCACTCCACTCCCTCCTGGTCTGCAAAATTTCTGGTGAGGAACTCACAGCTGGTCTCACAGACCTCCTTGATACGTAATGAGGCTCTTCTCTTCCTGCTGTCCAATGTCTCTCTTTCTTTTTGACTTTTGACAATTTGCTTATGTTGTTGTGAGGACCTCTCTTTGTCCATCTTAGCTGGGCTCTGTTGGACTTCTGGAAGGTAAATATCCATTTACTCCCTGGATTTGGGAAGTTTGAGGCCATCATTTGTTCGAAAGCTTTCTGTTTTTTTCTCTTGCCCCTGTCCTTCTGAGACTTCCATCGTGCAGATGCTGCTTCTCTTAATGGTGTCCCCTAAATCCCTTAGGCTTTTTTTTCACTCTGTGTCATTCTTTTTTATTTTTTTCTCCTTTAGCTGGTGTCTTAGCTACTTTTCTTGCTACTGAGACAAAATACTTGACACTCAAAGTTAAAGGAAGAAAGATTTTATTTCAGCTCACAGTTCAGTCCATCGTCAGCTGGCTTTAAGGCAGGGTGGCATGGCGGAGGGGCATCACAGAGGAGAAACAGTCCATGGCAAAGCAGGCAGGAGGCGGTGTAGGAGCGGCAGCAGGCCGGCCTTTCCTCTCCCCTTTATATTCCATCTAGACCATGAGATGTTAATTGGTGCCACCCATACCCAGGGTGGGGCTTCCAATATCTGTACCCAGGACCGTGCTAAACCTATTTAGTTACCACACACACACCTTTAATCCCAGTATCACACACCCCAGATGCAGCCATCTCTAAAAAGCTCTACCTATGAGCACGAGGGGACATCTAGATACAGTCATAATGAATGGATAACTTCAAGTGACCTGCCTTGAAGTGTACTGATTCTTTCTTGTGCTTGGTTAAATCTGTCTATGTGGTCCTCTTAACAAATTTTAAAATTCAGGTATTGTGTTCTTCTGTTCCAAAATTTGTGTGACTCTTTTCATATCCCCTGTTGCGTGTACGTGCGTGCGTGTGTATCTGTATATAACTCTGTACGGTGTGTGCAGTGCCGGGGATTGAGCCCAGAATCATCATGCTAGGCAAGTGCTCTGCCGCCTACCACCTTTTTTTTTTTTTTTAAGTACTAGGAATCGAACTCAGAACTTTGCACTTACCAGGCAGGTGCTGTGCTGCAGGGTTATATCTCTGGCCCCTCTGCCATTTTTTCAAAATATGAATTCCCAAGTGATACTGGCAGAAATTCTGATGGCAGCAGATATAGGTAGAACCCTGAAAGTTGTATTTCTTAAAGGTTCCTCAGGTGACTCAGATGTATACACAGGTATAAAATCATTCCCAGTAAATTCTGCTCTTAGTCCCTTTCACCTCTCAGCTTTCTCCAAAATGCTATTATCTGCCTAGTGTGTTCCCCTCTGTATCATCTGAAGGTTCTTGAAATCCTCCTGCCTCCAAGCAGCCTTCCTGAATCGAATGCTGTCTGACCACAGTTTCTTGTGGCTCTTTCCAGGCCGCTCTGCCTCAGCTGTGTCTGTTCTTTCCATTGATATATTACTTAGTTATTTCCATCCCACTGGCTACTGTCTGAGTCCATCCCTGCCTGGAGAATTTGCTAAGTAAGTCTGCTCTAACGCCCCCAAGTCTGCTGTAACTACTCTGAGTGTAGTGGGTACAGCCCTCTGGAGACCCAGGTGAAGCCTCTCTTTTCTGAAGGGGTAACCTCAGACAAATTCCTTTCCCTCTCTAGACCTCAGTTTGCTCATCTGTAAAATGAGAGTAATGGATATGATCTCTGTGATTCTTCTCTCTAGACTCTGACTTTCTCTCCCCTTACCTCGTGTACTGTCCAACTGAGGAAGAAGAACTTTGAAGACATTTGTGAAGCTCTGCCTTCCCTCAAATAAACCAACAGGTCCACCAGCTCTCCCACCACCCCCCTCTCTGAGAAAAGCCATGGCTCTAACTGATGCTGATGTGCAGAAGCAGATTAAGCACATGATGGCTTTCATTGAGCAGGAAGCCAATGAAAAGGCAGAGGAAATAGACGCTAAGGCTGAGGAGGAGTTCAACATCGAGAAAGGACGCCTTGTACAGTCCCAGCGACTCAAGATTATGGAGTATTATGAGAAGAAGGAGAAGCAGATAGAACAGCAGAAGAAAATCCAGCTGTCCACCATGAGGAACCAGGCGAGGCTGAAAGTCCTGACAGCCCGAGACGACCTCATCTCAGAACTGCTCAGTGAGGCAAAGCTGAGACTCAGTAGAATTGTGGCCAACACAGTTGTGTACCAGAAGCTGCTGGATCAACTGGTGCTCCAGGGTCTGCTCCGACTGCTGGAGCCGATGATGATCGTGCGGTGCAGGCCTCAGGACTGCTTCCTAGTGCAGGCTGCAGTGCAAAAAGCTATTCCTGAGTACATGATGGCCTCCCAAAAGCAGGTGCTGGTCCAGATTGACCATGAAACACACCTGCCTAGATATGCAGCTGGAGGTGTGGAGATCTACAGTGGCAATCAGATGATAAAGGTTTCCAATACCCTGGAGAGTCGACTTGAGCTCTCTGCCCGGCAAAAGATGCCAGAAATACGAACGGCTTTGTTTGGAGCTAATGCCAACAGAAAGTTCTTTATATGAGACATTGGAAAGAGAAGCCGGAAAGTAAACTGCTAAATCATAAAGAGTCTTGAATTGTTTGGGCAAAGGAAATTGGTAATGCTTCTCTTCTTTGAAAGCCCTATTATTGTCCTATCTTTTTTCATGAAATAAAGGTTTAGCTCTGAATAGCTAAGGCATTATATTTTGTTAACTTTCCAGTAAAGCTCAGATTAATGTTCAGAAACCAAGTTCCAGGTCATTCACTCGTAGAGAGCATCTGGGCCATTTTGTGGTCTGGGAATCAGGGAGCGAAGCTGTCTTTTGTTAGTGCAGCCTTGGAATGAATTGGGTTCTTGACCTGTAGGCTTGTGTGCGCTCAGTTTCTCTAAGTTATGCATGCATGGTGCATTTTCTTCTTTTTTCTTTGTTTTGGTTTTCTAAGACAGGGCCTTGCTGTGTAGTTCTGACTGGTCTTGAACTTACTAGGTTGCCCAGGCTGACCTTAAATTCAACTGAAATCCTGCTGCTCTTGTGGTTAGTTCTCCAGAGACTTAAAAGTTTTCATTTTAGGGGCTGGGAGTTTAGCTCAGTGGCATAAGCACCTGCCTTGTAAGTGTGTGGTCATGAGTTCAATCCCTGGTACTGACAAAAAAAAAAAAAGAAAAAAGAAAAAAGTTTTCATTTTTATCTGTGGAATTGTGCTTTCTCAGTGACACCTTGATAGGACTTTGGAGCCTATGCCAGGATTGGGAACCTAAGCTCACACATGCTACTGACTCCCAAAGTCTGCCTGCTTCCACCAGATAGTTCCATTAGGTACCTACTTCCCAGCGCCATGCACCTGAGGCCCAGCCATTCTCTGCTCCAGCAAGAACCTGATGTGCATGCAGGAAGGGTCAGAGTGGGGTGCCCATGTGCTGTGGAGCTTCAGAGCGGCATAATGGTAGCTGCCGGTACCCGGCCAGGACACAGGGCATAGATCGGGGGGCTGGTGTTTGTCAAATTTGCTGCATCCAAAAGTCAGCAAAGTATTCTGTGCCTGGAAAAGTTCTTTCTTGGATCATTCAAGCCTAGCGGAACTTGAGCTCATCTCTTACAGTCAACTCGAGGCACTTTCTGGGAGAAGCCAAGAAACACAGATTGTGCAATTTCAGTGGTTTTGCACGTGGGCATTGCACTGTATAAAAACAAATGGTAAAAATCAGGCTAATAATTTAAAATTTTAATTTCTCTTTAGAAGACATTAAATAGCAAATAAATACCATGAAAAGTGGGAGGAAAGTGAGCTGGAGAAAGAGAGAGACAGAAAGACAGAGAGAGACTACAGGAAAAGGAAAAAAGCTTTGTAATTTAGTATCTTAACTAGCACTTTTTTGGTTACATTTTAAAAATGTAAATATCTTACATTTTTATTTTGCAGTGGGCCCTGAGAATTACATAGCTCATTCTGCCTGCCTGAGCGTATGTGCTTCAAAGTCTCAACTGTGCCTGAGCATGCTGTATTTATTAAGCATTTTTGAAGAAACCAAACCCCAAGTGACCCTCTCCAGGCAAAGTTGTGTCCTGTGTGATTAGTACCACATTGCAGGGAGCAGGGCCCCTGTGAAACTCAAATGCAAGGCAGGACACAGGTTATTAACAAACGGGTGCCTGGCAGGCCACAGAGGCAGGAGTCTCTTACTGCCTCAACAGAAAGCTACCTGGAGTCCTCTGTAAAGCCCCCTCCTTTGTTTTCCTTTCAGAAATGTGTTCTTCTGCTGTTCCCAGTTTAAATGGTGGCATATGGATGGCCCAGGGCCCAAGCTTACATGTAACAGTGTCCAGAAACAAACTAGCTCTCCTTGAAGCCAATTCCACTGTTCTGAGAAGGAATCCACATGGCTTAGTGTGGGCTGCATGTCTATCTCTGGTCCAGTTGGTGTCTGCGGGAAGTTCCTAGAGGAAAAAAAGGGCTATAACAACCGGACAGACACCCAAAGTGTGTCTTCTGAGTGGCTGTGAGTTTCAAATTCCTTCAGTGACCATTTTCTAAGTGACAGCCATGAGTTAGGCACTGTTCTAGGTGCCGGGCGGCAAGAAATATGACCTGGTCCTGTCCTTTAATGGGTCATAGATATAACAGATGGTGACTATGGTGGCATACAACATGATGAGTGCCATCCTAGTGCAGACACAGATACCATGGAAGTACAGTGATTTCATGGTCTTTAGCTGTAGAAAGAACTCCAGGCAAAGGTGGGAAGAAGTCATGTGCAAAGGCCCTGAGATGTGACAAGGTAGCATATGTTAGAGGAATTGCACAGGCATGTGATAGAGGTTGAGGGATGCAGAAGCAGTGACCACAGATGAGGCCGGAGGGCGGGCAGGGTATGATTGTCCGGAGTCATGCACCCTGTTCAGGCATTAGCTTTAATTCGGGTGGCTGAGTGATGAGGCAGGTCACTGAGGAACTTCAGATAAGAGTGAAACAGTGAGAACTGTACTTGGAAAGACAAAACAACAACAAAACCATCCTAGTGTCATTGTGTGTGAATGACACATCAGAGAAGGGGCGAGATTGGAAGACAGAGGCCTGGGAGGAGGCCACTCATCAGCTCGGTGAGTGATGAATCATCTACCTAGCTCTGTTGTGAGGGCGGTGAAACTCAACACAGGTCAGGACAGATTCGAATCAGGGACAGTGCCCTAGCATGCCCTCCGTGCCTCTCTCCCCAACTAATACGCAAGGTCATTTGTCCACAGCTTGAGGCCTCATCACGGGGCCATATACTCTTGTAAGTTTCTCTCTGCCCTTGGAACTACCTCCTCCTCTGCTGGGCTTCCTTCCAGGCCAGGGCAGCCTCCCCTTCCCAGCTGACCTTACCCTGGCCGCCTCGCCTTCTGGAAACTTGGCTTCTCTTCCTACTGTAACCCAAGAATGTGTGGGGCGCCATAGCCTCCCCTGCTCTGGCTCCCTGAGCCAGCCTCCATCTGTTATTGCTCCCTGCTGTTAATTCGTCTCCAAAAGCAGCGACTGTTGTGTAGATTTTATGCAAGTTTTGTAGGAAACTGAGGCCAAACTTTCCCCTAAGTCCTGTCCAAACATCTCTGTTTTCCCAACTTTTCCTTTGTCACCATGTTCCCTTAGCAAAGCAAAAACCAAGTGACTAATGAAGCCTGACCTCCCACAGTTCCTGGCCACCAGGATGGCACCTTCTGTGAGGACTTTCGTGCAGTGCCTACATTTGCTGTTAGCTATTTTTCCTACCTGTCTGGTCTCTTCCAATACAGCGCCCTCTGCTCAGGGATCTCACTGATCTTTGTGTCCCTGCTGCCCTGTGACTTGCTGCCTGGCACACAGAAAGCTCCAGACAAGCGCAGATGGCTGTTGCATTCTTCTTCCTAGCCCGGCCCTTGTCCTGGGTGGGACACTCCAGTGTGTGTAACCTCTTCTGGCCTGAGGGGAGAGGCAGGATATGGGGGGGAGGAAGCTTTTGATGAGACGGGGACTTCGCTGCTCCTGGGAAGGGGCTGCTGAAGAGTCAGGAAGACTCACTTGGCTCTGGGACTGGAAGTTCCCTCTCTCCCTGGGATGCAGACAGGAGACTTTGCTTTGGACCTATGTGGTTCTTACCTGTTCCTCCAAGGGGGCCTCAGGCTTGGCTGTGTGGTCCCTCTACTGGGTGCTGTCCATCTTGTGACGGTGTGACAGCTGCAGTCTCTCAGAGGCTTTCTTTTTCATAGATGCAGCCCAGCATCTATGCCTTTCCTATTGCTCACGCCCTGCCCTCAGGAAGGGGCTGTCCTGGCTAAGTTCTTCGGTCCCCAGCTGAAGGAGCAAACTGACTAAGGCAGGCAGACACAGTCCTTCCCTGCGCTCTCATTAGCACTTTCTCCCGAGGTGCAAGGGAAGCTGTTGGCTGCAGGCAGAGGCTCTGCTTGTGGTGACAGCTGCTGGGGGAGGAGGCTGGAGTGGAGGGAAACTGAGCCCTCAGCACCAGGCCCTGCCCAGCACAGATGCCTGCTGCCCTGTGGGTCGGGTGGCTTCCCCCCATGGGGCCATTTGGAGGATGGGGAGTGCAGATTTCCTTCCTGACCTGTCTGAAAAAGCCAGAGATGGCCTGGATGCTTTGACATGTGGGAGGTCCTGAAGAAGGCAGGGACCACACCAGCAGCACAGAGAACGCTGCAAGGCTTCCTCTGGCCCGGGGCTCCCAGGACCCTTGGAAGTGGGTTAGATCTGTTCTGCCACCATGCCCCACTTCCCCACCTCTGGGGAGCAAGTGTAAGGCCTTGCTGGGGACACTGCTCTTTGTCCCCTTGTTATGCTCTCCCAACTACACGCCCACACCCCTTTTAATTCATATCCCCATCTCTGAAGTTTGTTCCAGTTATTCACAGCATGAGGAAAGGATCTCAGTCTCTCCTCCACTGCCACCTTCTCAGACCAGGGATCCCTGGGCTCTCTAAGTCCTGGTCTATGCTTTTCGTACAGAGCCAGCTCCTGGTGGGCTTATCCCAATGGGCTTATCCTCCAGGATGGTCCTTCTTTGGCTGGGAGGCAGAGACAGCAGAAGGGGACCCCCAAGCCCTAGGATATGTTCCCGGTAGGCTCTTGCCTGGCCCTCCATGCTCCTGGACAGCTTGCAATGGTTGAATTGAGAACGTTTTTTCATCACTGGGAGATAAACCCATAGAAGGTGATGTTGGCTTCATCTTGGCTGCTACCAAACCTGAGCAGATTCTTGTCCAGGCAGTCACAAGGGGTTAGAACTTGAGGGAAGCTTGAGAGTCAAATATTATCTTGAATGTGCAGTTCAGAGAAAGCAAGAAAGCACTAAAACCTTCATGATCAGTTAATAGGGCTTTCGGGGCTGCAAAGAAAAAAAAGCTTGAAGAGACTGCAGGTGTCATCACTCACTTTACAAAAACCTTTCTGTGGAGAAGTCTGAGAGCTCTGGTGGCCCGAAGGTCAGACATGGTAAGAATCACATGGCTTAGCTGGGTGCTGGAAGGAGCCGCCTCTCTCTCTCCTTGGTATCCTGACCTCAGAGAAGGGGTTCCTGTGAGTGACTGCATGGGGTGGGGGTAACTTGAAGAGGCCAAGGAAAGACTGGGCCCTTGTGTCAGGTCAGGGCGCTGAGCCACACAAGGTAAGTATGGAGAAAGGTGATTGGGAAGCAGGCGGCATATGGCACCCGGCCTACGAGGGCTGGGAACAGGTGCAGGTGAAAGGAGAAACCAAGGTGGAGAGGAAAGAAGGAAGGAAGGAGGAAGGAGGAGGGCTGGAGAGGAGAGGAAATGGAATAGTGGAAACAAGAGAGGTTTTAATTGGGGAAGGGAAACATAAGGTGCTTTTGAAGATTCTTGCCTTTGCTCCTTTAAAATCTGAGCCCTGGGGTTTCACTGAATTTAATTGAAATCAGCAGACCTCTTGTTCCGTCATTCATTCTACAAGTAATGATCAAGTTGTTACCAAGTATCAGGCACAGCATCACTTGCTGTGAACTGGATAGTTCCAGCCTCAGCCTTCACAAACAACACTAACACAGATAAAGAGGGTGCAAATGGGCGCAGGTGAGCGCTCATGGTGGGAAGGGGCACCAAACAATGTGGTGGTGGGTGGTTAGAAGTTGATCTAAACAGTAAGAAAAGTACAAAGTTCTGGGCAGAGATCTTTCCATGAGCCCTGCTCCGGTAGGGTGGTTCTTCCTGTCCCTGGCATCTGCAGGATGAGAAGGAGGTGACCACACAAGCAGATGGGCAGGTGGGGCTGGGGGAATGCTCAGGGCACTCTCAGCAGAAGGAACTGCGAGGGTATCCCACTCATCTCCATCTGTTCAGGCTGCTATGACAAAATACTTTAGATAAGATCGTCTATAAGCGACAGAAATGTATTGCTCACAGTCTGGAGGCTGAGAAGTCCCTGCTCAAAAGAAATTCAGCAATTCCCTGGAAATGGGAGCCAGTGCCTTGCAAACAGCTGGCTCAGACTTGTGCATAGGTTGGTCTCTCTGTCTCTCTCTGTCTCTGTCTCTCTCTGTCTCTCTCTCTGTCTCTCTCTCTCTTTTTCATTTGGTACCAGGGATCGAACTCACGAGCTTGTGCCTTCCAGGCAGGCACCTATGCCACTGAGTAAATCCCTGGCCCTACAAGTCTCTTTACAGGCAAAACAAAAGTTTTCTTTTTTCTGTAAACTGCATTTGGGGCCAATGACAGCCCTTTTTTCTTACACATCTTGCCATTAATTTTACTCTTGTTTTTCAGTAGCAAGAACTATTGACAGTCAGGTATTGTACAACTGAGATGGAAAAAACACAAAAACGCACTATTTGCAAGAAATCCTTTGGCCAGCAGTCACCTCGTCCCTGCATTCCCACCACCTTTTCCACCTTATGTGACTGGTAGGCCTTGGCTGAGCTCCTCTCCTTTTCTTTGTGCACTGGAGCACCAGGGTTTGGCTCAAATTTTGTTCCTGCTTCCCGGGGCTCCTCAGTTCCTGTCTTCCTTGGCTGGCTGCTCCAGCTCTGGCTGACTGCACCTCTGCTGATATCTCTGTCTAGCCATGCTGCACTGGCACCTGCCGGGGTTACTACTGACCTTTTGCACATGCTGGCCTATGGGGTCCCTGCTCCTCCTGCTAGGGCTATGGCAGCACTGTACCCCAATGGATTTGGGGGAGAACGAACTGCAAGCCCTACAGCCTCTGCTTCTATCTGAGAGCAAAGCAATTCCCAGCAAGGGCACTAGGGTGGCTGTTCCTGAGGAAGTGGGTGGCAGATGATAGCTTCAGGGCTGAGCACTAACAACAAAGAGCATTAATAGGGCGCGGTCCCTGCCTCCTGCTCATCCCCTAGGGAGAATCAACACTTGGATCTCAGTGTTTGGGGGCTTACTATAGCAGTGTGTATTCTCCGGCAGCATCCTGCAGCCCTTTATGTATGGAAATCAGTGGGGTGTCGGCCAGAGACCTGGGCCAAGACATCACCAGCCTATGTTTTGTCCCAGGGTTGCGATTCTCTCCCCATCTATTGCACATGCCTCACCTTTCTCAGTACCTCAACTTTCCTATCAGTAAAATGGGAAAGAAAATGCCTATTGTCATGGGGGCACTTTGACAGTGAAATGACAGAAAACAGAAAGCTCTCTCAAAAAGCAAACAGAGACTCATGCATTCCACACTCATTTTGATACTGAACCTTAACTCAGTGGAAAAATTATGGTGTTATGCAAAAATAGAAATATATTACAGAATCAGAAAAAGATTTAAAACTTTTCATGTAAACCTTCAAAAATTTAAGATCCTGCTACAACTGCCATTTTTCTTCCCTCACAGATTTCATAACAAAGTCCTCCAATAATTATGCATAATGTGCATATCATCTTATTCTTTGGTTTTCCACATGGTGGTATCATTGGATCTTTATGATCTTCCTCTTTCAGTGCCTGCAAATTAGCAAAGCAAATACACAGTTTCTAATTTAACTAATCCAGAAGTAACTGACACTTGATCTACTTTTGAGTTTTCATTGCAATGGATAACGCTGTCATTAGCACGTGGCTTTTTAGTAGGTGATTAATCTGCATATAACATTTTGTCTAATTGTTAAACTAGTACATATACATTACAGAAACTTCAAAGAAAATTTAAATCATGAATAATTGTGTCTCTGAAAGACAGACAATGTGTGTGCAGGTCCCACCTTTCTATTCCTTTTAAAGTATGTGCATTCAGCTATCAGTGGCTGGGAGTATGTGCGAAATGATACATCATGGTTACTGTTGGGCAGGCACAAAGGGTAAGAGGCTAGATTCTTGCCACAAGTTACCCTAGTTTAAATGCAGCTCCTGCTGCTTAGCCCTTTGACTAAACCCTAAGTCTCAAAAAGCAAACAGTTTGTACTTTCTTAAGTTAGTCAATGGTTGGCAAGTTCCTCCCCTGGCCACAGGTTTTAGGATCCCAATAATATGTTTCTCTTAAGAGTGGAGTGTTGGGAGCCACCAAAGCTGGAAATTGACCACATGTGCAAGGCTGGAGTATGACAATTCCAAGAACAAAGCGCACCAGGGCAGCCTCCTGAAGAACCTGCTTCAGCCCAGAGAACACCTACCCCCAAGACAATCCAAACAGTGGGTTGCTAGGACAACAGGGTGTCATGTGACATTAAGTTGCTACAAGGTATAAATAAATGCCTCTATAGTGAGGAGCTAGTATCTTTCCTCCCATCAGAAGGAGTAAGGGCTCAGCTTTCTCTCTGCTTTATTTTCTCATCCTCTCACAGTCCTTCACCCCAAGAACCTCAGGAGCCGCATGGGTCCCGGCAGTGTAGAATCAATCTATAGACAGCACTTAGCAAAACAACCGGCATGTAGTAAGTGCTCAACAAATACCAGGCACTGAGGGGCTGGGGATTTAGCTCAGCGGCATAAGTGCCTGCCTTGCAAGCAGGCAGTCGTTTGAGTTCCGATAAAAACGAAAAAGACAAACAAACAAACAAAAAAAAAAACAAAAATACCAGGCACTGTCATTTTTTTCCTTGCATGTTCCAGGTTGTGAAAAATTCCTGAAAATCACCTTTTTAAATGACTTCCTAATATTATGTTGTTCTTTTATGCCCTATTCAATCTCATCCTACACTTTGTGTCTTCCAATAAGGAAATGAATTTTGTGGACCTAAACCCTTGCACCAGTTGGCTTATTTCTATAAGTATTCTAGATTTGCAACTTGTAGGGTAAAAAAAAAAAGATTTTTAATAGAGACTAAAAATAAGGGCTGGGGATTTAGCTTAGTGGCTAAGTGTGAGGTTGTGAGTTCGATCCCTGGTACCAAAAATAAGTAAATGAAGGATAAAGGCAGATGTCAAATCAGTTTGGGAAAAACGATTGTAAAGAACAAAGCTTAAGCGTGGATTTCAAATAGCAGCAAGAATTATAGTCTTGGAGTTTTCCCTTGCATCTCGCCTCCTTTCTCAAATTGTAGCCTTGGGAGCCACACACTGCAGATTGTTAGACTTTTGAGACGGTCCCTTGGTGTAAAAGGGGCCAACAGCTAGGCAAGGGGGAGGTGGAGGCGGAGGAGAGAGAAGGTTTGAATGTCACCAACGCCCCAACCCGCTCTGTAATTGAATCACCGTGGACCCGGCAGCAGCGGTCACATGGCCTGAGCGTGACCTCATAGCTCGGGCGGGCCGCGGTAGGAGAGGCGGAGGGGGCGCTGCAGCACCCCAACTCGGCAAGTCACCGATGGAGATCTAGGGCCTCGGGAGCTCTTCCCGGCTCTCTGGGAACAGAAGGAGGTGGAGAGACTAAGAAACCCGGACTTGTCTAATCGCCCGCGCCGTGAGCACTCCAGCAGCTGCGCGTGCAGCTGCCTGCAGCCGAGGGCGTCTGAATCCCGCCCGCGGCACGCGCAGGCTCCGCCGCTCACCGCCCGGGACACCGCGGACACCGACCCCGAGGCTTAGGACCCCGCTGCACCCCGCTGCAGCCGTGGGTGCCACGCTGCGTCCGGACGCCCCGCGCAGGCCGAGGCACGTGCGGTCCTTTGGCTGGAGGCGCTGCCGGCCGGGGGCGCTACCTGGCGGGACCTGACCGGGACCTGCAGACATCTGGAGTGCAGAGAAGGAGTTCGGAGCAACCTTTAAAATTAAACAGACAGACAAAAAGCCCGGAGGCAAGTATCGACGGAAGGAAGGGCCAGCGCCTGGGCTTCTTCGCCAGCACCTGGCACCGATGAGTTTCAGCCAGCCGGGCTCCTTCCCTCAAGGGTGCCTCCGGGCCCGCAATGACAGGCTCTGGGGAACCGCCAAAACCCCGAATTTGTATCATTTGTCTCGGGGTAGATGCCTCTCCTCCCCGGCCGGCAAGTGCTGGGCTCTGTGACCTCCACTCCTCTTTGTTTTTCTTGTAGACTCCTAAAAGAATTTTGAAAAATTAGGCTTGTGCATTTTTAGCTGCAAGGATTTTTTAAATTTCCTTTTCTCCAGTTTAAATAGCTACATAAAGTCTTTCTGGTGTATTGCAAATATTGACATTTTAAAATTATACTTGTTACAGTACTCTGAAAAATGTTTTGAAATGCAATACTATAGCAATTGGCTACCCACCATCACGTCTTCAAAAAATACATGAACAAGTTGGAGACATTTCATCCTTTTTTTCCTCCTTGCGCTTATATTTCCATTCCACTTTCCCTAAGAATTTCAGCTTGTATGTCTATGCTTGGAAGTCTTTGTATTTAAAATGAACGTATTCCTAAAATTCCCTGCAACCACACACTCTAAATGTTAAAGAACATTTTGTCTGGATTTATATCGCATCAATGATGCACAATTAATCAAAAATAAGGGAACAAAGAAACTAAAAACTGCATCTCTTAAGGGGACGAAGCTGTTCTCCATCCCAACTAGCTCATATATCCATGGGTGAACATCACATATTGCTAGAACGTGTCAGGGGTTAGCATTATTATTATTTTTAATTGATGCAAGACCTGAACTTAGAGGCCTTTTTCAAATAATATAGAGGAATGCAAGGATTTCCTGGTAGTGATGTCACTCGGTTGTGTCTCCTTTTGAATTATTTGCCCAAAACCATCTGGATAAATCATTAAAAATCTTATCAGCTGACAACTGAAAATTGACTTCCTTTCACTCTGAATGAAAGCAAAGCATTGGAAGCTACACGATTTACATAGTCATGAAAGTTACTCCTTTCTCAACGTGGACACTGGAATATAAATTGCGCTTTGGTAGCACCAAGCATTTCTCATACGTCACTGTGCCAGGCTGAGATTAGGGATAGGTAAATGGGATGCCTTTATTGCAGGACATGGGGAAGGGGACCATGAAAGGGAATCAGGGAAAAGAATTAATAGCATCCTGCCCACATACATGGCTGGGCCAGGTTACCTGTGCAAGAGGACCCTAGGGGAAACTGAAGACTTACATTGGTCTCTTGAGTCCTTTGGAAACCTTCACGTGTCCCCAAGAGTGCTCATGCCTTAGTTTATACTGGTTTATTGCTGATTCAGTGAACAAAGAAGGGGAAGCTGATGGGTGGAGGGGTTCCTATAGGTTCCAAAGGTAAGCAGGAAGGTGCTCTGGGCAGGAGCACTTCCTGAGGGGTGGCCTTGTCTCTGCAGGACTTTTCTTGGGAGGAGGCAGAAGCAGTAGTGACCCTTGGTTGCCCTGGCTACTGTCTGCCTGTCCAGGATCAGACCCTCTCAGCACCTTCCTGATCCTCTGTGTTCAGCCAGTTTGAGTTCTGGAAACCTTTACTTCACATTTTTCCATGCAGACCCTGAGGTGGGGAGCGATCTGCAGCAGACCAGTCAGAGTGGAGAGGAGCAGAGAGAGTTCCACTAGGCCAGGCAAGCTACAGCCTCATCAGACAGATGCTGACAGATCTGACAGATCGCTGGCCTTCTTTGCTGGTTTGCTCTGCTGTCATCTCTGGGAGCGCTATCTCTGGGGACCTTTGCTGGGCTCGGGAGCATCTCTGTGTCATTAGAAGGACCCCTTGCCAAGTGTAGTCCCAACAGTCTGGGAAGCTGAGGCAAAAGGATTACAAGTTTAACTGTAGCCTGTAGCTAGCTATTTGTTTATTTGTTTGTTTTATTTATTGAGACAGGGTATCTCTGGGTAGCCCAGGCTAGACTTGAACTTGTGGTGACCCTTGTTCCTCAACATCCCCAGTGATAGGATTAGAGGATGCACCACCATCCTGGGCTAAAGGCCCTGACTTAATAAAAGAGCTCCCTTTCTTCCTGGCTGATGATGTAGTCCATTGCCAAAGGATGTGGCCTGGCCAGGGAAGAGGCTGCATTTCATCCCCCTGTGTCCACTCAGCTTGGCACTTTTTGGCTTTTGCACACTTGCACAACATTCTGGAGTACAGTGCTTATTCCTAACTCTGCTTAGAGCACACTCTTCCCCACTTAGAGTACTGTCCCTCTAGCAGTGTAGCCAACTTCTCCCCATCGTGTGAGGTTCATTTCAGGTGCCATTTCCTATCACCTCCCCTTCTGGGCTTTCCTGCATATATGGATTCCCCGGGCATAGATACACTGGAAATGGTGGGTGCTGCAGTGAGGGGGGGGGGGTTTTTGACCTGTAGGAGTTACTGGGCATTCTCTGGAGATGGGATCCATTCAGTGCACAGGAAAGCCCCCCCCCCACACACACACACACACAGAGCAAAGAATCATCTGGTCCCAAGTGTCATTCATGCTGAGGTTGAGAGACTGATTCTGGACTACATCATCTCTAGCGTTAAACATTCTTACTTCATGGCTTAAATTACATTGTGGGCTTGTATATGTGTGTGTGCCATTGTTTCATAACTTTAGTATCATTGTTAATTCCTCAACTAGATGGCAACTTCCCAGAGGCCAGATCATGTGTCTTGCAGGTGTCTACCCCAAGGGCACTAACTCCACATTCTCCAGGGTTTAGGGTCACTCAGAGGAGCTATAGAGGGATCAGCTCTGACCTGCCCCAAGGCTGCCCTCACATGTTCCTATGAGCTGTCGCTGTTATCCATGACATTATACCTAATGAAACAAAACAGCCCAGAGAGCCCAACAGACAAAGGCTTCCTTGGTATGGTTCATGGAACTACCCCGTCTCCAGCCTGTGCCTCCCTTCACACCTAAATCTTTAGGCTGAGCTGAGGAGACCACATTGAGAGAAATCATAAACTGCAAGGCACCAGGAAGCCACGTGTCAGCTTTCTCTTCAGCCTGGAACAAGGAATTTATGAACCACGTTTCCCAGATCTGTAAATGCAGCCTGATAAAACCTCACACTATGACTCACTAGGAAGAAAAGCTTAGATAGATTTCTCAAGGAGTAGCCACTGTCAAGGGAGCCGATAACATTGGTGGGGCCCTGGGACATGAGGGCCACGAACCATGTGTGTAAAGTCTGTTGTGACCGTGTTTTCGTCTCCTAGCTCGACATGTAAGTCTCACAAAGCCTGAAGGTCAAGTTTGAGTGTGGCATTCTCACTCACTTTCCAGATTGCTATGCTGGAACATGGTTGTGGGGACAGCTGATTCTGGAGCCCCTTGTGCTCATAGCTCATAGCCTGCCCCCCTTGTCGTCACCACCAGCTCTGCTGTGACCGCTGAAGAGCCAAGATAAGCCCCCCACCCCAGCGCATGCATCCATGTTTCAGTCTCACTGTTTGTCGACTTACCAGCCATTCAGCCTGCCTTAGAGGATGGGCTGTGGAAGGGGCCGCAGTCCTAGAAGTAGGAACTAAGCATTTTTGCACAAAGAAGTCCAGGGCTCTGTGCGCCCAGCCTATGGTCTAGCAAGAAGGGAATGTGAGCATTTATGGATATATCTGTGAGGTCCTCTAGATCCCTTACCCATGGGGAAGAGAGACATGAATAACATTCTCTCAAAGTGCTGGCCCAGAGTAAGGTCCCTTTTGTCCATGCTGTCATTCAAGGAGGCAGTACTGCCCTCACGTCTGGACAAGAGGGACCTTACTGAGTTATCTTTCTCAAGAATGCTATCAGAAGTCCTGGGTTTGAGACGTATTGGTCAGGTCTAAGTCACATATCCACCCAACAACCAATCATTTTGGCCATTGAATAAATGCTTCTGATTGGCCAGGTTTGTGTCCTGGGCCTACCACTTGCCTGGAAGTCTGCTCACCAGGACTTGGTGGACTCTCTGAGAAAGAGGGAACTCTTCCAAAGAAAACCAAGGGAAAATAAATGCCAGACGCACACAGCAGATGTCACTGGAACCCTTTCAGAAACTGGCCTGTCTAGGGGTCTGCCTCACTGATTTCTCTTATGTATTGGGATATCCCTGAGCCTGGCGGAAGGTAAGATCCCTGCCACATATGGTGATAACCTACTCATAAGAGTCTAAATATTGGTAGCCAAGATATTAAATCTCCTACAAGGATTTATAATTGAAGACCAACAGAGCCTTAGTCCAAGAAATATTGCCCTAATGGTAGGGTCACAGGCTTTATGGAAGATTATGGCAGAACAAGGGAGGAAAACTTACTGTTTTGGGTTTTTCAAAATTTTATTTATGTGTAGTACATAATATGTACAATCCTTTTCTCATCCACTTCCCCTCTCTTCCATCTCCCCTCCACCTGTCACTTGAGCCCCTTCCTTTTTTAGGGCACATGTTTACAATATATAATGTCTACATTCCTCGTGTAGAATTGGTACAGGAACATAACACATCCTAATTGCTCTTTTCCATCCTTATCCCTTCCCTCTCTCCCGCCTCCCTCCAGCTCTTAATCTCCTTCCCTTTTGAGAATGATCTAGGGAGAAAATATTTTAGATCCAAAAGGCCTTTTGGAGACCTTGATGCTCACTAGGATCTCAGGTATCCTGAGCCTGTGTTAGATCTCATGACCTTGACTTCATTTCATAGTAATTGACCCATATCAAGGGTGACCAGTGTTGGGAGGGGGTTAGGTCAGAGGGGCCATAGACTCCTAGACAATAGTGCCTAGGTAAAGAAGAAACTGTTGTAAGAAACAGCTCAGTACGGTTCTTCCCTGAAATCCCCCTTCACTCTTCCTCCCTCTTTCCTTGTTCCTTTGTTACTATGGCAACTAATGATGCTCTTTCCTCCTCTTCCCCTCTGGCATTCTC